TCTGGAGAGGCTGGAAGGCTGTGCTAAGTGCCTTGGGCTTTATTTTGAGCGTGGTAGGAAGCCTTGCAAAGATTTTAAGCAAGAGTTGAGGCCTCTGGACGTCTGGATTAAGCCAGCCCACGATGCCACTGTAATCAGTTGTAGGGAGCACACGGGGGCTTTGAGGAGCAGTGACGCAAGGAGGGAGAGGCTTGGATGCTGGAGCTTTCACAGGACTAGGAGAGGGGACTTGGTGAGTGATGGCCGTGGCTGCCGCAAGGAGCCGAGGAGGAGGGCATGGGAGAACACGGGAGTGCCTGGCTTGAAGGGTGGCAGCCATTCCTGAGACCAGAGACCAAGGGGGTCAGCCGGCCAGACTGATGGACATGGGAAAGAGCAGTGAGCTTCCTGTGAACACAGCAGCCCTCACTGCCTTGGGCCGTGTGGCCGCCCCTTTCTCAACCCTTGTCTGGCTGCTCTGGGGGGTGTCCACGGTTGATCTCCCCAGATCTTCTGGGGCTCTATGTGCAGGCTGCCTGTCTGGCCTTAGGAGGAGTCCTGCAGCACAGCTTCCCAGGGCACCAAGGAAACAAGCAAGCACCATCCAGCTTGCGTTACCAAAAAAGGACATTTTCTCTGTTTGAAGGTTTGCCCAGCACTTTCCCTCCTCCCCCGACCTGGGGTTTCAGGTTGCCAGGGAAGTGTTTCTGGAAAGTTTAGGAGTTTGAGTCACATGCATTCGTGCGCAGGCAAATATGAACCTGGGATATGCATGTACCACACTCAGTTTTGATGTCATAAACCTCATCTCCCTCCTTCTTCTCCTTCATCACCTCCTCCTCCACCATCACCTCCACCACCACCATCACCACCATTACTGCCACCTCCACTCAGTCACATCGTGGCCTAAACTCTTTCATATGTTGCCTCTTAAATCATGAGTTTTCACAGCAACTCCAAGAGGGGGAAATTATTATCTCCATTGTACAAATGAAGAAACTGAGGCACAGAGAGGCAGAGCAACTCACCCAAGGTCCTAGAGTCACGGTGGGATCAGGACTAGGGTGAAGTGATCAAGGTCGTGCAAAGTGCAGGGTCTGATCCAGTCTTTATCTAAATTTTGTTCACAACTTGTTCATCAAGGATTTTTTGGCATTATTTTTGACTTTTAAAATATTGCTTTAGAACATTGTTTTCTCTTGCTTGCTGAGTTTTTGGCATCCTCCTAAGTTTCAGCCCCAGCCTTGGCAGCATCCGAACTGGAATCCAAAGCTGTGCTCTTGACCGTTCCCTGTGCTGCCCCTCCACGCATACCTGTGCACATGCGTGAGTTCATTTAAGTGTTCATTTTCTTTAAAGTAAACTCTATGCTCAATGTGAGGCTCGAACTCGCAACCCCGAGATCAAGGGTCATAGGCTCTACTGACCAAGTCAGCCAGACATCCCATATTTAGGTATTCTTTTGTCAGTAAATAATTTTTTTTTTAATTTTTAAAAAATGTTTATTATTGTGAGACAGAGACAGAGCGTGAGCAGGGGAAGGGCAGAGAGAAAGGGAGACACAGAATCTGAAGCAGGTTCCAGGCTCTGAGCTGTCAGCACAGAGCCCGATGCGGGGCTTGAGCTCACAAACTGCGAGATCATGACCTGAGCCAAAGTCGGACGTTTAACCGACCGAGCCACCCAGGCGCCCCTGTCAGTATAAACACTATTGTGGCAAGGTGGCAAGGGCAGGGCTTGGAAATCACAGGGTTCTGGGTTTGAACTCCACTGTTCCCTACTGGGTGAGCAGACAGCCTGCAGTTAAAGGCACAGACCCTGGATCCCAGAATGTCTCGGTTCGAAATCTTGCTCTGTCACTTCCTGGCTGTATAAGTTTGCCTTAGTTCCTTAAAGCCTTGTGCCCTGGATTTCTCCTCAGTAAAGAGGGGTGGTGGTATTAATATCTGCTACCCAGTGTTATTGGGGGATCAAATGAGTTGGTTTCTATAAAGCCCGTGGCATGTGGTAAATGCTTTGTAATATTAACTATTATTTTGCATCCTTGAGAAGATACCTCTCTGAGCCTCAGTTTCCCCATGTGTAAAGTGCAAACAGTAAAAACTACCTCCCAGACATTTTGAGGATTGAAGGGGATAACGTAGGTAAAGGGCCTGTCCTCCCTTATTCCAGGCCCAATTCTATATACTGGAGATTGAGATGCAAAAACACACATCAGCTCCCTGAGGTGTGTCTCATCAGCAGATGTGGACACTCATTTGTTTAGTTCTCCAAAGCACTGAGCTCTTTCTCTTTCTCAGGGCCTTTGCACATGCTCTTTCTTCTTTCTGCCTTGTTGTGCCCACTTCTCCTGTTAAGGGTCTAATTTATGTTTTTCTTCATCTCAGTAAATGTCACATTCTCAAAGACACCTTCCCTGGTCCCACATCTGTCACCGATCCATTTGTCTTCCTGCTCTAGAATTTTTTTTTTTTTTTTTTTTTTTTTTTTTTTTGTATATGTGCTGTACCTTTTCTATATTTTCATGGCACTTCCTTCGTGGCACTTCTCACAACAGCAGTTAAGTTCTTTTTATTTAACTGCATTGTATTAAATACGTTTTGTTGTTTTGTTTACCTCCTTCCTGCCTCACTTGGCTGTGAGGCCAGGGACAGGGCTGGTCTTATCCTCAGGTCTCTGTCCTCAGTGCCCCGGGGTGGCACGTGTTCCAGAGTAGTGCTTGAGCACGAGCGCTGGGCCTTATTGCCTGGGTTCAAATTCCTGGCTCCTGCACTTAAGGACCCTGAGACCCAGAGCAAATTATTTAACCTGTCTGTGCCTCAGTTTTCTTTTCTGTAAAATAGGGAAAATAATAACAGCACCAGCTCCCTAAGGCATCATGATGATTACAGAAGATAATCTTGATAATTCCTTCAGAACTGTGTCTGGCCCACAATGGAGTTGTTATTTTAGTAGGTGCTTCTGGCTAGACTAACAGCTGAAAGGAACATCTCCCAGATCTCAGGTGTTAACACAATAAACATTTAAGGCTTCTTTAAATGTTCCACACTGAATGTTTAAATGTAATGGCTAAATGTTCCACATTCCAGTGTGGGACTGTGGGAAGGGAACTTCGCATTATCTATAATCATCTCTGGACCTCGGTTCCTTCCACTGTGTCTCTTAACATGGGGTTCACAGCGGATTCTGTGGATGGAATTCAGGGAGTCTGTGGACCTGGATGCTGTCTTAGGTGAGATTCCCTAGAAGCAGAATCTGAGGTGGGGATTCTTGAGCAGATTATTTTTTTTAAGTGTTTATTTATTTTGAGAGAGAGAGCGTGTGTGCATACGCGAGCCGGGGAGGGGCACGGGGAGAGGGAAAAAGAGAATCCCAAGCACGCTCTGTGCTGTCAGCACCGAGCCCAACATGGGGCTCCATCTCAAGAACTGTGAGATATGATCTGAACCGAGATCAAGAGTTGGATGCTTAACCAACTGAGTCACCCAGGTGCCCCATGAGCAGATGATTTTTTGAGGGGATGCTTTCAGGAGAGGGGAGGGTGACAGAAACAGAGTAGGGTAGGGAACCCAACAAGGATGTAATCTTACCTGCAGTCCCGCCTCAGCCTGACCCCACGGCAGGGGGTGGGGGAGTGTTCTGTGGCTACCACAGAGTTGGTTCCTCCTGGGTCAAGAGGGGCCTGGTGGGTGTCATCAGTCATTAGTTGTGAGCCGCTTGGTTGGAGTGGGTGGCGATTTGACCTCCAGAGCAATGTGGCTTCTGTTGGGTGCAATTTTCTAGGACAGTAATGAGCCATTAGCAGCCTATACAGGAGCTAAGGGTGGGTGCCTTTGCCCAGCAAAGGGATCTGGGCAGAGCGCCAGAAGTTTCTACAACAGATGGGAAAATTATCTTATTTTTTACTAACTTCTAACTGAAATTTAGCATTTGCTTCAAATTATGAAGGTAGGCAAAAAACCATAGTAGTACTAGAAATATCTGTGACTTGGGGCACCTGGGTGGCTTAGTCGGTTAAGCATCCAACTTTGGCTTAGGTCATGATCTCATGGTCCATGAGTGTGAGTTCCGTGTTGGGCTCTGTGCTGACAGCTCAGAGCCTGGAGCCTCCTTCCGATTCTGTGTCTCCCTCTCTCTCTGCCCCTCCTCCTCTTGCACTCTCTCTGTCTCAAAAATAAAAATAAAAAATGAAGAAATATATGTGACTTTGTCACTGGTATAAATCACATATACTTTCACATTACATTATTATTGTTGCAGATATCTTCTTTTAAAAAGGGATTTTATTTTTTTTAAGTAATTTCTGCTCCCAGTGTGGGGCTTGAACTCACAACCCAGAGATCAAGAGTCACACACTCCACTGACTGAGCCAGTGCCCCTACTGCAGATATCTTTGAAATACCCTTTATGCTAATCTATACTTTAAAATGAGTGTAGTTAATACGCTTGCTAGATATTTTGTTCAATGTGTTAATGAGGAAGGACCCAGACATTATATTACAAGTTTGTTCCTTTAAGTATTTCGGTAACAGTGTGTCAGTATAATTGCGTCCCTTTGTAATGCTATGTATTTTTTGCATTTTAAAACGTTATTCTGAGGAGGAGTCCATAAGTATCACCAGATGCCAAAGAGGTCTGGGACCCAAAAGAAGTTAAGTTCCCTGTTCTGGAGTGTTGGCTTTTCCTCCATCCAGCCAGCACCAGGGCAAAAGGAGAGGATGTAGATTGCAGAAGAAGTTTTCATGGGCCCAGCCTGGAAACAGCATATGTCATGTCTTCCCACAGTGCGTTGGCCAGAACTCAGTTGCCTGACCACACTGATCGCAAGAGACATGTGGCCTATCTGTGTGCTCAGAAAGAAGAGGGAATGGTCTAGGGAGTGCACAGCAGTCTGGGCCACAGGGTTCAATACATATTCATTGACAGCCCGAGTGAATGAATGCTCTGGCCAGCCTATCTTTTGTGGGCAGAGGCCTGGTTTTCTGGAGGGATTCTGAGTCTCTACCATGTTGTCTCCGTAGGACAAGCCACGCCAAGGCCAAAGCTGAGGCAGCGGAACAGGCCGCCGTGGCTGCCAACCAGGAGTCCAGCATTGCCCGCACTTTGGCCAGGGAGCTGGCTCCAGACTTCTACCAGCCAGGTAGGGCCACCCAGGGAGGGGACGGGCAGGACAGGGTGAGGGGAGGCCCCCAGGGTGGGACCATTTTTCTTTTTGTTTGTTTGCTGGAAAGCTGAGATACCCAGGTGGGTTCACAAATGTCTGTGAGTCCAAGAACGGGGGATTGTGAAAGCATGGGATAGAGTGACACCAGGGGACTCATGCTGAGATCGTGGTGGGGAATCAGAGGCTCCCAGCTGCACATTGGCCCCACTCCTGGCTGCCTCCTCTCTCTGCTGCAGGCAGGGCAGTTGAGCTGATGAAGTGTGGTGAAGGGAGAGGTCTCTGTGGAGGAGGCATTAAGCCCTCCCACTCTTGCGCATCACTTTCAGTTTAATCGAGTGCTGCCCGTGTGTCAGGCACTGTGCTGGGCTCTGGGGTACAAAGCCGGGATCCAGAATCTAGAGGAGCATTGAATCCTGAAGACAGCATATCAGGGCGTGAGGCATGTATTCACGTCCTGACTCCACTGCTAACCAGCTCAGAGACCTTGTTCAGTTCCTTCACCTCTGTAAACCTGTTTTCTGATCTGTAAAATGGGAGTAAGAATAATACTTTTTGGGCAGCAGATTAAATGCACATCAGGTGAAGAGCACACGGCCTAGTCCATGGCAAGCTCTCAATAACTGTTGGTGTTGGCTGTCGTCTCCCTTTCACGATTAAATTCCGCACAGCGTACGTTCTGTGTGGTTGGAACGGGGGCTCTGGGAGCTCATAGGGAGCACATAACCCAGGGACTTACATCTCCAGGCGGGGCGATGTTAGAGAAGGCTGCCCTCGGATCAGTGGGTCTCAAACGTGTCACAGAACACCGGGCCCACCCCGAGGTTTTGATTCGGTAGGTCTGGAATAGAGCCCATGAATGTGATTTTCTAACAAGGATTGGGAAGTGCCAGTGCTGCTGGTTTGGGGCCACTCATTGAGAATCACTGCACCATGTAGTGCTATGTGGGGCCGGCACATCAAGAGGAAGGGACTGTGGGTGCAAAGGCACAGAAACGGAAAGGAGTGGCAGGCGAGGAAGCTAGATGGTAAAACAAGCAGCAGAGGTGGTGGGAAATGCGGCTGCGGAGTAAGGATTCTGCAGCCCCTGACTCAGATACAGACTTGGCGCCTGGGCAGAGCAGTGGGAGCCCAGGGGGTGGGCGACCGTTCTCCGCATTGAAGGGCTTTATGGCAAGTGGCACGATTAAACTTGTATTTTCTGAATGTTATTCTGGCTGTAGCAAGGAGACCACTGGGGACTGGCTGGGGGACCTTGGAGCCCAGACTTTAAGTTGCCTCCCGTCACAGCGCTCCCCCTGCTGGTCCCAGGAAGAACGACACCTCCCAGCCCCAATTTCACCTGTACCAGGTCCTGAGCTTTGCATTTTACATGCATTTTTCAATTAAACCTTGCGTTAGTATTTGTGAAATAGGTATGATCAGGCCATTTTTCAGATAAGGGAGTGGAAAGAAACCAGTGCCACAGTTAAGAACATAAACTCTGGAGCCATTCGGACTGGATCTGGGCCTGCCTCTGCCCTTTGTCAGCCTGGTGACTTGGGGCAAGCGATGCCACCTCTCCGAGCCTCCCTTTCTTTCATCTGTAAAAATGAGGCTAATAGCACGGAGCTCATAGCGTTGTTAAAACACCTCAACAAGCTACTGTTTGGAAATTGCTTGGCACAGTGCTGGGCACAGGCCAGGTGGTAGGAAGCTGTTAGCTGAGTAAATAAAGGAGGCTGGGGTTGAATGGCTTGCCCAGGGTCATCATTATTGGGACCGGGGTTCGAGGCCAGCCTCGCCGGTTGTTCCCGGCAGGTCCGGAGTATCAGAAGCGTCGGCTGCTGCAGGAGATCCTGGAGAACTCGGAGAGCCTGCTCGAGCCCCCAGAGCGGGGCCCAGGGGCCGCGGGCCCCCAGCAGCGGACCCGCGAGAGCCCGCAGCTGCACGAGCACGAGCCCCCCGGGCCCGAGGGCGGCCCCCCGTCGCCGGCCGGGACGCCCCCGCAGCCCAAGCGGCCCCGCCCGGGGGCCACCA